GAGGGCGCCAGTGAGCGAGGGAGCCGGAGCGGGGCGCGAGCAGCCACTGGTTCGCTTGGAAACGGTTGTCACAGCAACGGGGTTTCGCTCCTCGGTAACGCGACTGTGGGGCGGCGACACCCTCTCCCAGCCCTCCCCCACCCCATGCGGGGCCTCAGCCCCCGGGCACAGGAGGAGAGGGGATGTGGGGACTACCCCTCTCACGGTTGGGGCGGGGGACTTCGCCCCTCTGGCCCGTTTGGGTGTGCCTGCCTCCACAACCCGTCGAGGGTGGGGGTGGGGGTGAGCGCACCTTGGAGCAAGATTTGGCTCCCACGTGGCTGCAGTCGTCGCAGCGGGGCCCCTGGGGTGGCAAAGGTAGGGGAGCCCTGGCAGGAAGAGGCATGGAAGCTGGATCCGGATCCCGCCACCCCCACTGCCACCACCCCCACCTGCCTTTGAAATGGCCCAACCCGAGCTGGGTACCCCAAGGATGATGTTTCTTACCAGGGGAGAGGACAGAAGCTCGAATCTCTCGTCCTCCTGGCCAGGGCATGTGCCAAACGTGGCTTGGGCCGGTGGTGGGTCTGTACTACTCATTCCAAGCCACCTTTCTGCAGGGAGGGGTGGGAGCAGCGTGTGCAGGGGCAGAGGAAAGGACTTTGCTGACCCGGGCCAGATGGGAGCACCCCAGCCTATTGTCTGGATCACAAGTGCCCCTATCTTGTCTGAGCACAAAGCCCAAACTGTGCTGGGTGGCATGCAGGTTGGCCACAGGCTGGCCAGTGCCACATGGAGATGCCCTGACCCAGGGAGCTCCTCTGGACAGAGAATGGCAGCAGAGTCAGAGGAAATGACCTCTGGCTCCCTTCCCAACCTCCCCTCAGTGTCAATGCGCTGGGGAGAGAAATGGCCCTCCAGCCAGCTCTCCTGGGTCTGACTCAGCAGATGCCATCCCCTACTGACCACAGGCGTCGACCACAACGGCCACCCCTGGCTTTCCCTTCCCACCCAGGGTGGTGTCCTGGGCACCAGAAGTGAACATTACCCTGGGCATTGAGACGTTGGCATAGATGTCCATGGATGAGTGGTGCCCTGAGCCAGGCCCAAGTCTCCTTCCCACAGACAGTAGGCCTCTGGAATGATTCACAGGCCCTTTTCATTCTCTTTCTGCTCGGGGGTGAGGGCTCTGCATCCATTATTCCTGATCCTTACAACAGTTTTGCAAGGTAAGTTTATTACCCCCATTGTAGCATTGAAGATTCCTGAGGCTCGGGGAGGTAGTGACTTGCCCAAGGTCACACAACCAGTCAGAGTGGAGCTAGGTTTCCAGGGCTGGTTCTGCTGGCATCACCCCTCTGCCTGCTATACATCTCTTGTGAGCCAGGCAGGAAAGAACTGTGGAGCTTTCTAGAGGAACATCCTTAGCCTTCTTTCACATTCCTCCAGTGAGCAAATGCGGTCTTTCCTGCCTTGGTGCACCTTCTTCCAGAAATAGCCAGATTTTGCTCCCTGAGATGCTCCACAGGACTGGTCTGCTGCCAGGCT